ATATATATATATATATATATATATATATATATAGGGTTTCTCTTTCCTCTGTTATAATATACATTATATAGATACAAAAGGACATGCGTGTCTGTATGCATAAATTTGGTTACTGAAGTTTCAAGGACACGTGTTCCAACTATGCATACCTCTCTCTCTATATATATATTTATTGGCTAGTCGATTATAATTCAAAGGTAGGAATTGAAAAATAAAGCTATTTTATGAAGGATTCCGATCTTAGTATGAAGGTTCTGATACTAATTATGCTAAGATACAAGAATCACAATATAGTAAATTAGTAAATCGAATTCATACCTGCTAAAGCCATTGTTGATATGAATAATAGCAGCTAGGTCTCCCTCTCCTTACTTCCCACAAAGTATTAGCTATCAATGGAGCAAGCTAATAAAATAATATGGAGAGGAGAGGGGACATAGCCTTTATATAGGAAATAATTGAGTCGTCCTATTACAACTAGAACTCCAATTAGGGTTTATTTTTGACCCACATATTTAAAATTACCACATCATATTAATTACAACTTGTAAGATGTAAAAGACTCAATTGATCACTTAATAAATTTGGCACAATCATAAATATCATTATGACCTATACATATAACCCGTAAAATAAACAATCAAATGTGAAGCCCATATTTGGAATTATTCCAACACAAAAAACTTTATAAATCTAGACATGAGATACCATTTCAAACCATCAGCTTATTCTTCATCTTCATCCTCATCTTCATCGTGGCTTGGTTGAATTAAAGGAAAGGGAGGGATCAAAATCTACAATTGAAATGGATGTCAAACAACAATCGATGATTCAACCATTCAAGTGCCACAAAAACTATCCACTTAAAAACACAATTCTTCTTCCTCAGATGCCATTCCTCCACCTCTATACCTAGCTAACATAGTTTTCTTTTACGTCATCTACTATCTACTCCTCCGATAGCGTGAAAAGATACGAAACTCTTCCCCTTTACATGTCCTTGCCCTCTCAAAAATTGGTCATGTCGTTTCCTTTCTTGTCTCTTTCATCTATCTCTTAGGCATCTTCTGCATTAGCTTCGTACAGTCGTTGATTATTTCCTACAGCATTTTGGATGAATTTGAGGAGAATGATTAGTTGATGTGGAAGGAGGATTCCGTACAGCTACATTCCCATCTAATCGCCAAGTTGCTTCTTCCAAACTAGACAAGTCTGATGCCACTGATCAACTGCACCTCTCCTCGGAGGTGGACGAGGAGATCATCAAGTCTGTAGCGGCGGGCAAGACCCCTTTATATTCTCTCGAATCCAAGCTTCTTGGTACCCAGTGCCGTTGCTATTCGCCTTGAGGCAATACAGAGGATCAGTGGAAAGTCCCTCGTAGGGCTGCCCTTGGAGGGCTTCTAACACGACCGTCTCGAATCACCCTAAGTGCCTATGGTAGATACCTGCTAAGTTTAGGACCCATTACCAAGGCAACCTTGACTTGCTTTGACTATAAAGAATTTTGACCAAATTTCCTTTGAAATATGGACTAAAACTACCTAATCAATAATCAATTTCATAACAAAAATAAAAAAGTATATAAAACAAAGAGTACACAAAGATCATTATAAAACATGTAACATATGAAAGATTAAAATAGTCGGATCCAAAAAAAAACAAAAAAAACAAAAAAAAAACGGTGAAAGAATATTACTACCAAATTACGTGATGTTTTTCAAATTGAAAAGGAGGAAATGGAGATTAAATTTTTATCTTCACTGAAGAACACATTAAGAGTCTGTTTGGGAGTGATTTTGAAAATTGATTTTTTGACCGTTAAGAGAAAAGTGGGGGTTCATTTGTGAGAGAAAAAGTCAAATATGACGATTGAAATAGTGAAATAATGGTCAAAAAATTAATTTTTTGAATGAAAAAATCGCTTCCAAACAGACCCTAAACCACAAAATAAATACCCAAAAAAGCTAGCATTTTGGCCCTCTAAACGATAAAAAGGGCGTCGTTTTGAAAGTTGAATTAGCAAAAAGATGAATAGTGAGATTTTAAGGCTCTTATATTGTATAGTAGATATCTCACTCGAAATCTATCCATAGTACAATTTTCAAATTTTTAAAAAAATATTATATTCATCCATATTACAGTCTAACATTACTCATATAAAATTCATTCATTCAAACATTATATATACACATACACACACACACACAAAATTTAAAAATAAATTACTTATAAAAATAAAAGAACATATATAAAATTATCCAACCTCCAAAATAATAATAAAATGTTGAATTTGTTTTATGGGACAAGTTGTTATTTTTATTATTATTATTATTTTTTTTTGGCATAAGTAGATAAAATAAAAATCGTGAGAATTTTTGAACTATTTTATTTATTTCGAACACAATAATAACAAGATCGTAAAGAGGATCAACAATTTAAAACAAAAACTTATTTATTAATTAGAGTTTATATAGTTTATCATGAGAATTTAATTAAGATTTTCGAAGAGCTACTTAAATAAATTAAGATTTAGCTCATGTTTGACATCTATTAAATCAAAACTTTTTTTTCCCCTCAAACTCATTTTCAACCACATATTCGCACAATAAAATATCTCAAACGTTAATTCAAAATTTTTCCTACTTTTTAACTAAATATTCTCAAAAAATTAAAAAAAAAAATTAAAAAATCACTATTTCAAAACTCATTTTCAAAAAAAAAAATAAAAAATAAAATCTCATTTTAGTGGATGTCAAACTGGGTCTTAATCAGCAATACACACAAAATTATCTACACAAAATATGTTGTTGAACTATAAAATAAATTAATAAATTGACGTACTACATATTTTGACTAATAATTGAAACTTAATATTCATAATTTATATGTAAGTACAACATAACACTCGCGTCAAGAGATTGTCATGTGGAATAAAAATTTGATGGTGGTTCATGGTGATCTTTTTAATTTCGATATAATCATATACTTCAGTTTTACATTTAAAGCTTCCCTCTTCTTCAAATCAGTTGAGGTGGAATATAGAGATTTTGGAGGAGCTATACATAGAGAAAGTAGCAGTTACAATAGCAGAAGAGTGAGCTTGGATATTGTATAATGAGAAAGATCATTAGCATAGGCACGAGTTATGACCTTTCAATGACAACATTTGGTTGAATGGTTGCATTATCCTAATCGAGTATGCTGCAAAAGCCATCGATAGTAGAGATTGCAAAGATGGAATCGTTATAGCATGCATAATGTCTCTATTATGAGTTTTGCTACAATAAGAGGCTCAATGACAGAGTTAAAAAATAGAAGGACACGTGGTGCAACATCATTGGACAGTTAAAAAAATAAAAAATCCATTCAGGTGCTGGCAATGCAACACCTATCAAAGTCAACGTCTTTAAACCCTATTTGAGTAGCATTATTACTCTACTATTATGTGATTATTAATTAAATTAGTTAGGGTTTCTGACCTTTTGCTTTGTTAAGAATGATGTGTATAAACGTGGTTAGAGAGTGGAGAAGCTGATTACTTCATTGATGGTGTTGCCTGGTTGACAGAAGAATCCATTCCGTTCATCGCCATAATATTGAGCTTTTAGTTGACCTCAATGGATTTATCAATGGCAAGAGATAAATATCAATTGATGAATTTAGAGTGAAATTTTTTAATTGTTTTATTGTTTTCCTATTTAAGCAAATTTATGTACGGTAGAAAATATAATGTAGAATTTTATTAAAAGTGGATGAATATATGGATTATTATATTCACACAACATTTTTTTAAAAATAAATAATCACATTTTAATTACATTAAAGATCATTAATATATATTTATTATCATACTTGTATTCTTAACTTTTTTTTATTATTACATTAATGAGAAAAAAAAAGAATAATAGAAGAAATATTAGGTAGGCTGTTGACTTTAATTGATTAAATTTTTTTGTCCTTCATCATAATTTACGTTCAAAAATATTGTTATAGTGCTTTAAAATGAAAGTTAATATTCAATATAACAAAGGTATATCTTTTTTAACAGAGGTTGAATCGATCACATCCATAAAGCAATTCCAATAAACAAAAAGGTTGACCACATTGGGATAGACTTATTCCTCATTGACTAGAAAATCCACCATGCAATTTTGTATTATTATTAGTTTTGCTTATTTAAAAATACAACGGACAAATGAGTTTTTTTACTATATCTGAAAAACATTTGTTAGAGAAAGAATGCAATAAAATTAATTTGAGATATAAATGTGATAATTTGAAAATATTATATAACCTTCCACGCGATTAAAATGTAGCATAGCTATTCTACTATGTGCACATTCGAAGTGTAGCGGCTGAGAGTTCTTTCATCATAAAAAAAAAAAAAATGTAACATAGCTATTAAAAATTGTGATATTTATATATTTAGCTTAAATTTATACTTCACCGTCCCATTTATATAGGTGACTTTCTTTATTTTTTGTCCTATATATATAATGATGTTTCTTTATTGGAAATATATTTGTTTTTCTAATTTATTAATATACTCTTATTTAATTTGTCTAATTATTACTAATTCCTCCCACTTAATCTCAAAATTGTCCAAATTTTAATTTACTTTTTTGGAATTACGCACATATATGCATACAAACATTTCTCACTTCTTCTTGAGAACATGAACAAAAACACATTATTTATTACTAGTTGATAATTAAATAAGGGTAAACAAAAAAATATCTTAACAAAAAATAATATTTAAATAATATTAAATAAAAATTTTCAATTTGTATGAAAAATAAAATTCGCCTATATAAATGGGATGATAAATGAAAATAGCAAATTAATGAAACATTTTATTCCATTTTAACTTTTTCTTACTAATTTCAATTAGTAAAATGAGTTCTATAAAAATCTCATGCTTGATGACGATAGCGTAAAGCTGTTGAATTCTAATCAATGTCGCTGAAAACTGTAATCCAATTTCCAATTTTTGCACCTCCAGACCACCACCTACGCTGCCGCCACCACGCCTCTGAGATTCGCTTCTCACGGTGGAACAATGCCAACGCCGAGAAATTCATCCGCCGTGAGCGGGAACAGAAGGAACTCGAAGACGAGCTTCGCTTTGAGAAGCGCTTCGAATCTGCCCTCAATATCACTCATAATTACAGCCCTGCCCCTCCTCACCGCACCACTTTCAAGTCCACTGGCACCCCTTCATCGCCTTCTTCACCTTCCATACCTGGAAAATTCTCTAAGTACTCGAAATCGGCAAAGTACCCTTCTGGAAATTCAGTTCACCCTGCCTTTAGGCCCCTACTAAAACCCAGAAAAATCCCTGTAAAAAATCCGAAAACTATCAGTGGTGAAAACGAAAACAATGATTCCGTCTCCCCGAATTTTCGAATTGGTGAAAATGGGGTTTCGTATGAGTTTCCTGAGGCTCCCTTCGAGTATCAGTACAGTTACACGGAGACACCGAAGTTGAAGCCGTTAAAGTTGAGGGAGCCACTGGTATCCCCGTTTGGGCCGGGTTCTATACCGAAACCATGGTTGGGGCGGAAGCCGCTGCCTTCCAGCAAGAAGAAGCTTCCAGAATTTGACTCTTTCCAGCTCCCCCCACCCCATAAGAAGGGGGTGAAGCCTGTGCAGGCGCCAGGCCCCTTCCTTCCTGGTTCTGGACCTAAGTACATGAGGTCCCGAGAGGAGATATTGGGGGAGCCATTGACCAATGATGAAATTAAGGAGCTCATTGAAGGATGTAAGAAATCGCAGCGACAATTGAATATGGGTATACTAGATGAATACACTATACTGCATCAATTATTGGAATGCGCTCGTCTTTGAGTTTCAGTATTAATTTGCGTATGTATGATATAATGTGTGTTGATTTTTATATTTGTTCCAGAAAATACATGGTTTTGTTAATGAGTAATGCTTTTCACGGTGAAGACTACCGGTAGCCGTCTTGCGCGCCATACACAGATTGTTAATTGATGCATTAGTATGGTAGTTTTTTATTGCCTTGTACATCAAATAATATATTGTCACTTGTATGCCAGGAGCGACTATCGGTAGTCTTCATTATTCTTTGTTAATTGGTTTTCTGTGCATATCTTACAAAACGTTATAGCTGTTGACTAAAGAAGTGGATATGGCTGTAATGGACCAACTATTTCAAATGTTCTTTGTTTCAAAGTAATTTTTTATTTTTCGACAATCAAAACTATTGATTTTTCTCTTTCAGTTTTAATATGAGTAGATGATGATGAATACACTACATTGTATCTGTTATTTGAATGCACCTGTCTTTGAGTTTCAATATGAATTTGCTAATGGGTGATCTAAATTGGCTTGAAATGTATATTTGTTACAAAAGTAAATGGTTTTGTTTTTTTTTTCTGTGCGTACTCTGACAAAATGTTGTTGGCTAAAGAAGTGGATATGTGGTGAAATGAAGCAACTACTTCAATATGCTTTGTTTTATTACTGAGATCAAGTGGCACATATTATGTAGCTATTATGTGTAGGTTCTTGTTCTTGTTCTTTGTTTTGTAAAATAACTATATCGATAGTTTCTGCTAAATTGGGGAGTTCAAATTTGTTATACAGTCCAAAATGTCAATTTCAGTTAGTAACACAGCCAAAACTGTTATTGGCAGTAGGAATTCATTTTCCCTAGTTGATTCATGACAGTTGATTAGCTCGAGGACAAAGTTTTTCAACATTCGGTAATGCACTTGACATTTTTTCTCCAGGAAGAGATGGCCTGACACACAACATGTTAGACAACATTCATGCTCTCTGGAAGCGACGGAGGGTGTGTAAAATCAAATGCAAAGGAGTGTGTACAGTGGACATGGATAATGTCCGCCAACAGTTGGAGGCCAGTATTTTCAACTTTCTACTCTCATAGAAAAATGTTAAAAGTTATTTCTTTTTCTCCAACATTCATGTAATTTACATTTGGTTGTTTCCAATTCACCAATTTGCCACTACTGGTCCATAGTGACTATGGCCAAAATATATGCAGAATTTAATTAACTGAATTGATATATAGAAAGGAAGTTACTGCTGTCAATTGTCATATAAAGAAACCTCACTTGTATGTTTAGATTGAACAGAATTTTTTTAATTTTTATTTATTATTCAACGTTTCTGATACATCACTTCCATTATCTGATAAGGGATGGAAAATCCCTGTTGGGAAGATTGGCATCTATGAATGAGGTTCGCCTTCATGACCTTAAGTCGAAGCAGTGGTCTTATTAAGTAACTGAAGATCTACAAAAAGGGGTTCTAAGCAAATTCTAGAAAATTGCTAAGCCTTTAAACTGGGTCGACTAAGAATCTTCTCTAGTTGTGCCAAATAATTCAATTGTCTTATACTAGGTGATTCCATATACAGTTGCCATTGATACTTTCTCAACTGACATGAAGCATGAAATAAGTTAAGTAACTACTTCTTGAGGAAGATGAGAGAAAAGGATAATTTCTGGAAAACGGTAGTGTATTCACTATTCTTACTGTTTGTTCTAAACACTATATGTTACGAGGAGTGAAACAGATGGTGGAACAAATCAGCCCATGGACATGGCTTACTAACAAACAAAGCCTATATGTTGCACCAAGAATGAATAAAATATTACACTAGGAAAGAACAAAAAATGCATAAAAATTATATACGAAAATTGACTTTGACTTCTACACTACTAAAGAATAGCGGTTATAATGTCAAACTAAATTTTAAGCACATAATTCACAATAATTTTCTGATTCTTCTGGACTTGAAAATCTTGTCAAGATGATTTTAGAATTACAAAATTTCAGAATTATCAGATTATGAGTAGCCTTGCCATGTACATTGATAATATTCAACACATGAGTATGGTTGTTCTGGGTATCTTTTGGTATATTTTTTCGGTATTATTCAACTTATTAGATTTCAAATTGCAGAATTCTGTTTATTCAATTTATAGAATAAAGATTTCAGCTTATAGTATTGTGAAATTACAGTTTTACACTGATTTTCGTTGATGTCAGATTACTTATATTCAAAATATTTTACAATTGCTTATCTAGAATAAAGAAAAGGATTTTATGATTTCAACGTGTTTCAGGCTTAAAAGAAATTATCAAAATGTAAAATTTCATGAAGTTATAATAGGATCAACAAAACTTTTCCATAAACATGTATAAATGATAAAATAATATTTATTCGCGTACTATCCACTCGCTGAGGTACAAGCTCATACATTTTGTCACTATTTTTCTTTATCAATAGAAGCTTAGTTAAGTAAAATTTGGAGCCTGTTGATTTGTCGAGTTGAGCTACTTGACATAATGAGATTTATGATTTATTTTGTTAGTTCATGTAGTCTTTATTTCTTGTTGGTGGCTTATTCCCTTGGATAGGCCATTTGAATTATATATACAAGTCTATGGGCTTACTGAATATTTTATATAATTTGTGCATTTGGGGACTTTTGCTTGTAAGGGACACTCATATCATTTTTGCCACACTTTATTTTGGTTAGTACTTAGAATAAAGGGACAAATGTTCCCTATTTTTATGCTTTGGGAATATTTGTTGCTTTCAGGATGGTTTTGTCTGATTTATAAATGGAACTTTGACAATTTTTTTATTAAATTCATGATAGTCAAAAGAAGGTCAAAGTCAGCCTTAATTGTGGATTAGGTGTCTAGTTGGCATCCATCATCGGTGCATGTCACGTCTCGGGTCCATTTGAGTGATTCGTGACGATTGACATTCATGATTCGGATGTAAATGAGTCGAATTACTTATCCTTCTGTCTATTAATAAGAGTTGACAGAGAAGAAAAAGTTTCTGCCTTTCAGTATATGAAAAAGACAACATATTGGAAGTTACTCTTTGAATTTTAACCGTTGGTCTCTTACACAAGTAAAACTAAGAAGAGAACTTTATCCATAAAAGAGAAAGAACAGAACTTGGAAAAGAAAATAGAGAAGCATGTTCAGGTTCCTGACATAAATTAGTCAATCTACATTTGTTCTTATTTTAGTTATTATTTTGAATGCTTGTTCTTATAAAAACACAACATAACAGGACAAAACTGGCGGGAAGGTTATTTACAGCAGAGGTGGTGTGATATACCTTTTTCGTGGAAGAAACTACAATTATAAAACACGTCCCCGCTTTCCTCTTATGTTGTGGAAACCTATTACCCCTGTATACCCCAGGCTGATTAAACGAGTTCCTGAGGGTTTGACTTTGGAAGAAACAAGTGAAATGCGGAAACTAGGGCGCAACCTAACACCAATATGCAAGCTTGGTATGCTGATTTTAATTTCCTGTCATTATGTGTTGAAGAAAAAGGTTTATGGTTCAGTTTTGCCCAGAAGTTTGCTGACAACCTATACATGTCTTTTGCAGCAAAAAATGGTGTCTATTGTGACCTTGTAAAAAATGTGAGAGAGGCATTTGAAGCATGTGAATTAGTGCGAATCAATTGCCAAGGATTGAACGGGAGTGACTACCGCAAAATAGGAGCCAAACTTAAGGTAGGGTAACTTGCATGACTATAAGATATATACTTATTTTTTATTTATTTATTATTATTATTTTTTTATGGATATTAAGGAGAACGGGAAGATAGAAATTTTTTTTAGTTACATTTATAGTAATCCTTAGCATTTCGACTGCAGGATCTTGTCCCGTGTGTGTTAATATCTTTTGAATATGAACACATACTTATATGGAGAGGACGACATTGGAGGTCATCTTTATCAGAACCTGAAGATGGTCCAAAAGAAGTGCAGGAAGTTAAATTTGATGTGCCCTTAGCAGATACGGCAGATTCAGCATTATCATCATCTAGTGTTCCATCTGTATCAATTGTTAATCAGAACTCGAATGATCTTAACACTAGTGATACTCCTACACGTGGCAATGGGGAATCAAAACAAAGCAGTGAATTGACTGAAGCTGGGGTTGAGGATTTTCTCTCTACGGTCAACTTGTCATCCGAAGCTTCTCAAGCAGTCTTGACGGTGCAGGGTATTAATGAAGGGACTGAAAGATCTCCTGTGCATGTAGGCTACAGTTGTGATGATTCAGAAGCATGCAGTGAAATAAGTGAAAGCAAAACCTTATTCGATGGTGGTTTAGTGGAGTCGAGAGGGAATCTGGGGACGAGTTCCTGTAGTGAAAATCTGATGGAGCTTTCATCTGTGGTTCCTCGTGACAATGATACAGTAAAAGACTCTAAGAACATTGACGAGCTAGTAAGTTTGAGCCCGCCGTGGAATAAGGGAGTTCTGCTACTATTGAAGCAGGCCATTGAAAGTGGGAAGGCAGTTGTGTTAGACGATCATTGTTTGGATGCTGACAATGTGTTTAAAGCGACAGTTGCCTTTGCCAAGACTGCTCCAACTGGGCCTGTCTTTAGGTATGGACCTAAGAAGTTGGCGGTTCAAAGAGGTGAGAATAAAGAGACTAGTGATTTGGAGCTTAAAGAAGCTGCTGCAGTTCCAGGGACTGAAATAGCAGTTTCAGGCAGGAGCGAAAGTGAAAGAAAGAGTTCAAGAAATGAAAAGATGAAAGATATTAAAGCTGATTATCTAAATGTAGTTCCTCAGGGAAACCTTGGTGTAGATGAACTTGCCAAGTTACTTGCTTAATGTGATTTATAATTCATTAATTACTTCTTGATTAAGTTATTGTTGCCTTTCTGTAAATCACTCTAATATGAATATTAAGATACTCTCGTATGACTGATATATGAATAAACAGGGGATTTTAGTTCACAGTATCTGGCAATGCTAGCAATAAACAGCTACTGAGATAGTGAGATGTGATAAGAGAACATCAATAGTTAATTCAATAGAAAACAATTCGAGAAGTTTAGATATACTACTTTCACCATTGAAGTTATGAAATTCCTACTGTGTTTGAATGAAAGTAATAATTGAAACTGTAGAATTCCTACTGAGTTCAAACGAAGGTACTAATCATAATATAATTTAATGTTATTTCTTTTGCAACTATTCTACAGCTACTGCTCTGGTTTTACTTTTAATTCACGTGCATTCTCTTCAGGTCCACAGTATCTCTTCCAGAACCAGTGTTTTTGCCATAGAAAATGTATCTCTTCAATAGGAACCTGCTTTGTCTCGGGCAAGAGAAAGTAGATAAAGCTGCCCATGATGCAGATCAAGGCTGCGAACAATAGGAAGATCCCGTATTCGAGGTGACAGAGAGCTGCAAGAAAAAACTGAGCAACTAAAAATGTGAAGATCATATTGACACAAACGACCATGCTTTGCCCGGCTGATCTCGTCTCCAGGGGAAAAATCTCACTTGGAACTAACCATCCCAATGGACCCCACGACCTTCCATAAGCGAGAACGAATATACAGATGGCGACGATAAGGAAGACACCGATGCCTTTTGGGAGCTCTTTACCTTCTCCAAATTTCAGAGCCAGAGTGATGGCAATTACAATCTGCACGTCAAAAACTTGTTAGTATAAACATCGATAAGAAAGGGCATGACAGTATATTTCTTCAATACAGAGGTGTTTTTTAAGTGAAATTACCGAGCAGCAGATCATTTCAATGCTAGCATCGATAAAGAATGCTCGTCTACCAAACTTGTCGACCAAAGCCATTGATATTAGAGTAGCCACAACGAGAGCTCCACCGGTAAAGACTGATGAATATAACGACGCAGTCGAGCCAAAGCCTAAACTCTGAAATATGACAGGAGAATAGAAAAGAATGGAGTTCATGCCAGTAAGCTGTTGGAATGCTGGGATCCCAAGTGCTCCTATTACCAACTGGGGTCGGTTTTTTCTTTGCAGAAGATTTCTAAATGGATGCTTTATTGCTTTGGCAGCATCGCTTGCTTCAATAAGGTCAGCAAATTCTGCATCAATTTTTCGGGTACCTCTAACTTTCTCCAAAATCGTTCTTGCTTCGTCTAATCTACCTTGTTCAACGAGACTATTGGGGGTTTCTGGAAGGAAAAGTCCACCAACAAACATAATAGCAGCTGGAACCGTGGCTAAGCCAAGGGAGAGTCTCCATCCCCAAGGATGGATCTTTTCGACTCCGTAATTCAATAAGTTAGCTATAAGAATTCCCACACAGGTTGTAAACTGAAAGAGTTGGTTCACAGCTCCCCTGATTTTGGCTGGCGCCATTTCTGATAGATACAAAGGAACTGCCTGTCCAACATATCAAATAGCCAATAAATATAAGTTAAGTTTCACAAAGTATTTTTATTTATTTTCTCTAAAATTCTTACTTGATTGCCAAATCCAATGCCGATTCCAAGAAGCACTCGACCAATGATCAACATTGCTATGTTCTGTGCAGATGCATTGAGGACTGCTCCAATGAAGAAACTGACTGATCCGCAGAGGATACTAGCCCTCCGACCGTATGATCTCGTTATATAGGAAGCTCCGAATGTGAAAACCAGGGCCGACAAGTATAACGAAGATGTGAACAGAGTAAGGATCTGATTATCATATTTACAGTAATCTGTCGTATCACGATGTGCTTGTTTTCTTCTGTACACACTGGGGAAGAATTCAATGAGGAAATCATCCATGGAAGTCACCCCTCCTGGAAAACACCCAAATATTCAGACACAGTCATCGTTTATTAATGCTTAAAAAAAAAATTTGGTCAAAGATTTTGAATCCAAATTTTTCTTTTCGTAAATCGAGAACCCAACAAGAAAAACTCACCAGAAACACCAAGATCATAGCCAAACAAAGAACCTCCCATGGCTGCAACAATACAAGATAATATGAAATAACGAGTGATCGTGTACTCGTATAGATGGGCTCGTCCTACGCCCGACTCTACGAATCCTCCACCCGCCATTGCCGATATATCCTTTCTTCACCTACTACTCTTTCTCTCTCTAAAAAATCACTACCAGGAAAAGACGTGAAGAGAGTAATTAGAGAAAGAATGGGTTTGATTTATAGAACTAACAATCGCAATTTATGGTACTGACACTCTAAATTAGTTTTAATGGATAGACATTGATGACTTCTTTTCCAGATCAATATCTTGAGTTAAATTAATTCTGGTCAATTACTGCTTTTTTTTTGGCCTTTTCTATTTTTTTTCCCCACAACTTGGCATTTGTTTTTTAATTTTATTTTCGTCTTATTAGGGGCCGTTTGTTCCACATTTTTTCAACAAAAATACATTTTAAATATCACATCATGAATCATACCTTAGAGTGTTGAAATCAAATATTGTAAACTGATTTGATGGAAAAAAATGTATTATTTTCTCAAATAATGTGCACCAAACGGGACTTTAATCGTTTTGAATGTCAAATTGTTATGATATGATGAAAACAACCTCAAAGACTGTGATGTCTGTCATTGGATTTTATATTATGTATTTTTTATTTTATTTTGTGTAATTATTATGTTAATTAAGCCACTGACGGTGTTTGATAGTGATTAAAATTAATTTTTTAGTAGATTGTGACAGAAGTTTTTGAAATGTGTGGTTGAAAAGTTGTAAGACCCATGAAAGATGTGATTAATATTGATTGTTTGACTTTGATTTAGATTAAAATTAAACTTTAATCCGAATCAAACAAACTCCATATTTCTGCTCCATTTTATTTAAAATATATTTTTCTCTCTTTTCTATTTAATCACATATTTTTCAATAAAATATATTAAACATAATTCAAAAATTTTACTTCTTTTCTAATTATATATTCTTTCAAAAATCATTATTTTAAAATATATTCTTCTTCAAAATTTAATTTTAATGGAGCCCAAACAAGGGCTAAATGATGACCTGTCATTTGCATGCATTGAGGAAGCATGAATGGATAATCTGTGGGAGTATTAAAGTTTGGTCTAATTTCAGCCACTAGAGGAATTATTAGATAAGGATTAAAACAAATTGTTGGAATCTGGATAAGAAATTATCTAATTTAGTAGAAATAAGAATTTTGAAACGTAACAACAATTTGCTTTCACATACACATAGTATGTTTAAGTTAGATAGAGTACTCGATAATGTAAAAAACTTTATTCAAAATAAGCATGTTTGAGAGTGGTAAAAAGAATGATAAAGAAGTGGATAATACTCATAAATTTCACAAAATTTGTGGATTGAAAGTGATTTGATCGATACAAACAGATTTTAAATCGATGCCAATCATGGGCTTAACCCCTGTTTAAGCTGCATTCTTTTTTAAAAAATATATTTTTAAACAGTGATTTGACATCATTTTAACCACCAATTTTTAATAAAATAATTTTATACCCTAATCCAATTTTTTTTATTTTTTAATCACACATTTTTCATCAATCTACTATTTTAAAATATGTTTTTCTATAATTACGTGGCTCAAACAAACGCTTAACATGCTGGCTCGAATAGAGGCTTTGTTAGAACTTGTACAACAAGAAGAGGACTAACGGTCCCTTTTTTTTTTTAATTAAATTAAATTAAATTTTATTTTATTTAAATTGATTTTTAAATAAAAATTGAAACATGGCCTGGTTGGCCAAGCAAGATTGCCCCATCGCACTGGACTATAATAATCGTAGAGAGAGTTGACTGGGAGTTTAGATGGGGCCAACTATTATTGTACAACTTGGTTTAGCTGTCACAATGTCTCTGTCCAAGTTGGAAAAATCAATTATGCTAGGTGAACAGGGACATTGACAGAATGGACTCAGAGATTTGAAAATTGGTCGCTGTGCGTTATTTAATTCATTAAAAAAATGAAGGGAAATTGATTAATTAATAAAACAAAAAAGGTTAAACCCTAACCTTAAGGGTCCCTCATCACACTTACCCTGGAGTATCGTGAGGGAGGTAAATCGCAGGTTATGTCTCCAAGGGTACAGGGTGGAAGGCTGCTTGTACACTTGCACTTACCCATGAGCCAAATTCATATTTCAGGATTCGAACCCTTGACGCAGCAGCCTCAAGCAAAGCTGGATTTCTCCACCCTCCTCTTTTACCACTTGGAGATGTACCCATAGCACTACCGATAAAAAAAGGCTCTCTCTCTCTCTCTCGCTCTCTCTCTCTCTCTCGCTCTCTCTCTCTCTCTCGCTCTCTCTCTCTCTCTCTCTCTCTCTCTCTCTCTCTCTCTCTCTCCCCTCCCACTTTCCTCGAAGAGCAGAAGCGAAAGGCTTGAAAATTTCCAGTCGACTCAATTGAAATCTCCACGAAAGGGAGAAAATTTCCTCTAGCCGGTTCAATTGAAATCTCCATTTTCACCCATTTCTCCCAAAATTTATAACTTCCATCTCCACCCATTTCGAGTCCCAGAAGGGAGAAAGCAACCTCCGGTCGACACATACTTGAAGTACTCCGGTCACAAGCGAGTCAAGCGCACTCAGTGCTCATCTTTACGGAGTCCACAGGGGACAGATTCGACGACAATCAGCTTCGAGTTCAATATCTAACTGATATTTGAATGATTTGGAGCACTTGTAGTCGGTCTAGAAGGACAAAGCAAATTGCAATTATTAATTGCCCTTTTTATAAATGTTGAATGTGGATTTGTTAGAAGTTTGCTCGCCATTTGTGTGGTTATGGAAGTGATTTTTTTCTTTTTTTTATGTTGTAATTGTAAGTGTTATGCCCTAAGTCTAATCAACATTGGATATAAATACTTTTGATATATAATTAATGCAATTTAATGGTAGATCTATTATTTAATTAATAGACAATTAAATTAAATAATAGAGCCGTAGATTCAAATCTTCATAATTTTTTAATCACAAGGAGTTGTGATTGTCAGATACAAATTATTTATGATTGACTTTTAAATCATCCGTAATCGTAAGTAATAACGAGATACGGGTATCGTTATTACGGATAGACCATCACGTGTGGTATTTCTTATTTGCGAAGTAAGTAGCTGATCTCACAAGTTAAAGTGTGGTGACACTTAAATAAACACGTGGATGTTTTGTTATAGAATAAAACATTGGAGACTCGTCGAGAGATTCCACATGGATAACTATCTTAGTGTCAGTGGTTAATCTCTAACATTCGGTAGTGGAATTGATCCTTTTGACTTGAGGTCGTCATAGTACCTTATATGAAGACGGTCATGTTTTGACAGTGTTGAATGTTGCTCTGCCAAGGGCCGCTAATACGATATCGTTTGGGTATGTCAAGAATTATATGAAGGTTGTGAATGACCAATAGAGGATTTGTCACTCTTAAATAGTAAGAGATTATTATCTGCATTTCATTCAATTAAGTCGATGACGAAATTCTTGGCCAAGGTGTACTCATAAGTCGAGAAGGAGTTTTCGACTTATATTGACTTAATAGTGGAGTGAAAGATGTGATCGATAATCGAGATTAAAACAATTCCATATCTCATAATTGATCGGATCATATTGACGAAGGGATTATAGTTTCACGATAAACGAACGAATTTGGTATTGTCATACCACGTTACATTTCCCCGTCACATGTATTATCCTGACACATTGCTAGATATCAATTTGGGACGGCGAGTGTGATTGGTGATAAATTAAAAGGGTGTTTTAATTTATCAATTTTGATTAGATCAAAATAATATTTCACTTCGTTAAGCATCGTGATCAGGAACCTGAAGAGTCGCACATAAAAAGAGAACTGAAAGATTGTGATATCTCAATTAATTAATTTAATAAGTGTTGGATAAATTAATTAATTGGATTGCTTATTTATATGCTTGAATTGATTAATTGGATTAATTAATTCACATATCAGATTTAATTAAATAAGTTGATTAAATGTTGGACCGGGTTAGGTCAAACTCATTTGGGCTTATATAAATATGATTAGGATTTGCAAAATTGTAGAAATTTATCATTATTCTTGTTAGCACAAGAAGGAATCCCTAATCCTGCAATCTTGTTCTCTGTGTGGATCACCGTTGGAGGTTGGACAATTGGACAGCTGTGGGAGACAGATCCAAAGTGCTCGAACAGAGATGTGGCAAAGGAGTTTGTAGATTGTGAAAATGTATTACTTTTATCACAGTTTCTATCTAAACACAAAGATGAATCTTGGTGAAAATCGAAAATTATTTTAATTTTCACTGCGCATGTTAAGTAAATTCTCAATAATGGTATCAGATCCTACTTTATGTTTGTTAGGAATTAATTTATATGATGATGAAATCAAAAGTTGATTTCCTCATGTTTTCTTGAATCTAGCAATTATGAAAGTTAATTTTCATATTCAAAATTTGATTTTAAAAGGAAAATAAAATTTTTGAATCTGAATTGGAAAAAAATAAATTAAAAAAAAATTGCCGTCGGCACGAGTGGCTTGCAACGACGTGCTCACCGCTGCGATAAAAAGCAGCAGCGCACGCATGCTGCTGCTGGTTACTGCAGCAACGTACGGGCGCTGCTGCTGAGACGGGAAGCCACCTATTTTGACAGCAGCGACTTCCCTCTGCGGTGATTAAGGGACAGCGCCGATCGTCGCCCCCTAAAACTTGAAGAAGAAGAGAAGGCGAATTTTAGGGTTTCTGCAGACATCACATGAGAAGAATGTAGGCAGGGGCTTGGGCTGCAATTTGGTAAATTGTGGGCCCTTGGCTGCAATTATGTAAAAGGGGCCATTTTGCAATTTTATAATTGAGGGCTGCTGTGCAATTTTCAAATTTCAGGGCCCTCCTTTTAATTTTAAACTTGGGTCAATTTGCATACTTCAAAATAGGTTTTGAATTTGAATTTTAAATGTGTTTTAAAATTATGATTTTAATTTGGTTTGACCCATGTTTTAATTTTGACTCAAATTAAACTTTTGTTTAAAATTGACGACTTGTTATATTTTCATTAAAATTGGATTTTAACTTAAATATTAAAATTTGACCCTAAATTGAATTTTATTTTATTTAGGAGTTTCATCGTAAATTAAAACATTAATTCAATTTAAATTAGAGTGGGACTCTAATTTAATACTTAATTAAAATTTGATTTTAATTAATTATTTACCCGAATATATTCTAGAAATTAGATTTG